GATTTTAATTTTCTTACTAATTTTAATTTTTGCTTTCGTTTGAATATTTATTTTTATCACCGCTCTGCCACCACCATAACTTCTATTTTAATGACGATTGTTTTTATTACCTTTTCTACCTGTTTCCCACTGTTTATCTCCCGTTTTTGCAAACTATATTCAACATTCTCTCAGAATTCTTCAACGTGGCGCTTTTACACCGTCCCTTACTCTATTCATATGTACTATATATATTGTTGTTCTCCAGGCAGTCACGCATTTGTTTTTGTTTGGCCACAAAAACATTACGTGCGCACATGTGTAACAAAATATTTTCAAATTAAAATTCTATTACTGCTTGCACTTATTAATTTGTTGTTGCTTTGTTAGTTCTGCCGTCAGGCATCCACTTCGCAGCAGCAGCAGCGCGGCGACGGCGCAGCAGTAGCGTGTAGCAGCAACTCTACAAAGTGTACACAATGACAACAATTTGCATATATTGGCGCACACAACAACAAATCACACACACATGAACGTAAATATATGTATGTGTGTGCATTGTACGAGTGTTGATTGTGGCTTCATCGGCAATCGGCGCTGGCCAGCCGACCTGGCTCGCTGACTGATTGCTTGCATGCTTAGCTGGCTGCTTCGCTGGCTAGTTAGCTAGTCAGCTACATCACTATGTACAATTGTATGTATATAAACATATATATGTGTGTGTGCATGTCTACTCATACGTTTAAGGAGGTATGTGTGCGTGTAGCTGTGTGGCTGGCTGACTGACTCTCCAACTCTTTTGGCCTTTTCGGCAGTTCGGCGTTTTTAGTGCGATTCCAACGTTTCACATCGCTTGTTGTTCATAATCGTTGTCGTCGTCTTTTTCGTCGTCGTATCCGTCACTGTTGCCGTCGCTTGCGTTTTGCGTCCGCATCCGGTTCACGTTATCATCAAACAGTAAAACAGAAAAAACACCACAACAACTCGAGAAGAAACGAAATGTATGCCAAAGTGTTGGAAAAAATAGATTCAAGTGTATTTTGAAATTTCATAAAAGTGCTGAGTTGTGTCATACTAAATGAAATCGCTTATAGTATGAGTAATTTAAATAAAGTGACAATGGATTTGCTGAGAGCATAATAGCAATTTTGAATTTTAGCTGGTTTAGTGTGAATTTCAGTAACTTTAATTAGCTTGTATTAACGACTGCAGATGTTTGCACTAAATGTGATGAAACCAAATCTTAAAAATAATATTCCAGTTAATAATAACACAACTGAATTTAAATTCAATAAAATATTAAATATCAAATGTTATGAAGGCTAACTGAAACATAAAAAATAATAAAAGAAATAACCTGAAATTGCACTAATTTTACTTACTCAATTTAGTAAAAGCAAAATCAGCTTTTAAACTCTCCTGCTTTTTGCTCTTCGCTCGTCATTTTGGCAGAAAGTCTTAAAAGTTTGCTTTGATTTCGGCATAAACGGCAAAATGTGCTTGTCAAAATTGCTACAAATTTTATTTTCTTCGATTTTATTCAGCGAGACTTTTCTTCAATTTGCCGCTGCCCACCCCACTGGTTTTTATGGTTCCTATGTCGCGCTGCTTTTTAAGCTTTTCATTCGTGCGCTGCTGTCGACGTTTCGCTTTCGTTTTCACTTTTATCTGCTGCTTCTGAAAATCACATTTCTGCACTCGTTTTATTTTCGTGCCCATTTTCGTATTCCTAGCTATCTAGGTTTAGCACTTGTCTCATGGCGAAACTTTTGGCAGCCAACGCTAAAATTGCACACACTATATACAAGTGTACATGTATATATATATACGTATAAGTGTGGACACATCTGAGGGTACATCTCCCACTTGCCGCCCTTAAAGGCTGACTGCTCGCCGTTCTCTGCATAGTTTCGTGTCGCCTTCGTCCAACTATTTTAAAATAATTCGTGCTTTTTAGTGCTCAAATATCGCATGCGATTTAACCTTGAAAGCTGTTGCACAGTGGGCACAAAGCACGTGAGTTTTCCTTGTTTTTCTATTTTCTCTTGTTTGCTTCCCTTGTTTGTTTCGCATTTATATGCGCTAATTTCGTGTGGCTTGTGTGTCCACCGCATGAATAATTCATGCAATCGCCACTTCTATAGCACATATAGTGGCGAGCGTTGCTAAGTTGCTATATATGTAATTCGATTTCAAATTATTCTCAAAAAATATATAAATTTTCTTTAATTTGTTATTTGTTATTTGGCATATAAATTTGAGTTATTAACACATAAGCGCCATTTACATGCTGGTCGAACAAGCGCCTTGATTTTTTTCTTTTGTGCACATTCTTGTAGTGCCTCTTTCGGCACCCTCGCCGCCTCACTAGCTACAGCAGCACACACAGAGACGTGCACATATTTCATGCTGTTAAATATTTATGGATTTTCCTTTGTCGAATGCCCCATAGCGTTCTGCTGATATGTGCCCAAGCACACTTGTTTGCAACCTGTCTAATTGCATAGATTTGTAGGGAAATGTGTAGTATGCTTTTGAGCGCTGCACGCTCGTGCACTAATGATGAGCGCTTTGTTGGCTGCAGGTGTCAAGGTTAGATGTTGATAGTTCGCTTCTGACTTAAGGGCTGCAATCACTATATACTTTACTGTGAACATGTGTGTGTGTATTGGTATGTGCTTGCATGGCTGGGCTATAATTATACAATCTCAAGCGCTAATTGCCTGTATGTGCTAGCGGGGGGCGCAGTGCGTTGTGGCTTATATAATATTATGCATAATATTTTTCTGGCATAAAAATGCAAAAATAAAGTGCTGGTTGTTGATGTTGTGTGTGTGTGTATTTGTCTAAGTTCTGTTAATTTCCAATTGGCCTTGTGTGTAGGTTTAGCTTTCGGGCATTTGTTGAGTGCCCTCATCAGCTGAATAAAACACAAGAAATGTAATTGAATTTGCTTTGTTATGAAATATTTTTTAGCTTTAGTGTGAAAAATGATATTTTTCCTTAAATGTTATTTTAATTACACATTAACTCTTGGAGTTTTAGGAGTTTTGAGAGCTTGTTTTGTATTTTTCAATAATTCTTAGCATTTCTGGAGCTCTAAGATATTCTAAAATATYTTTTCTCATCCCTAAAAGGTTTAAGCGCTCACAGTTTTTTTTACATTTTATAAAAAAAAATTCAAATTTTGGTTTCCAATTTTTTAAAATTTTAATCCCAAGCATTTTGGACTATAAATTTGTTTTTCAAAGTTTAATTCCAATTTTGTGAAATATTCCATTTTTTTTAAATCACAATTAAAAATTGTTGAAACTAGGACTATTTGATTGTGGAAGTGATGTTAATGTAAGTTTGAATGCCTTTTGTGAACTCTGGTTCAAACTTAATTTTATTAAACAATTTCATGATTAATTTTTTAAAGCRTTGTTAGCAACTCTGGATGTTGTACTATATTACTGCACTTTATGCATATGCAGCTGCACTTCCTAAGACCTTTGAGCCTAAAAACTATTGAAATTTTTGGCTTTGCTGGCCTTACGAACACCTAATATCGATCAAGAGACTTGAAATGCTTTCAAAACTTTGAACTTTTAATATAATGCGCATCGAAATATGACTTATTTGAATAACTGTCTCACTGAAATTTAAATATTAGACGAAAAGTATGAAAATACTTGCTCTAAATGTTTTTTCAAATCATTCTAAAATGATACTATGGACAAACAAACGCAAATATACACACATATATAATATATATATGTACATATACTATATACAAATATATATACGGAACACATTGTTCGTAAGAGTACCCCTATATATGTAAGTATATAACTGTGCATTGACTCACACACATACATGCGCCAGTGCTAATCAAAGGCACAAATAATGCTTATGTATGTCAAAATACTTGAAAATTTGCCACAACTTCAATGGAAAACGATAAGTGAGCACGCAAAACTCATCAATATGGGGACTAAAATGAGTTACGTTTGCAAAAAAGTTATCTTCAAGACGGAAATACTTTGTGAGCAAATAATTAGCACAGAAAATCGATTTAAAAAAATTACAAAAATTGTATAGATAAGAAGACCAAGTTTTGCTGAAGCGCTATTAGTATCGTAATGCCGTTATACCATAATAACGGTACGWGCGATGGTCAAATTAATGATTTTTCAATTTTTTTTTCACTACTCATAAAACGTTTGAACATAAAAGTATTTATCGCTATTGGCTTATAAGCATTATGTATATACACAGAGTTGCATTTGGTACGTAGATAAGCGCCATAGTCAAAAATTTATAAACATTTGTTTGGTTGTACATGAGCTCGCTTGTGTGGTAGAAGATGCTAATCAGAGCGCACTAATTCACTGCTCACATGTTTGATTATTTATTCGGTTATTCGGTTATTGTTGTCAAGCCACGGGCACTGTGCTTTATGACGATACGCTAACTATAAATATTTTTATTTCACACGAATATACGTGTGTGTTTATATCTGACTACTTTTCGCCACTATTTGAGTTGTTTAACGAATTCTATAATTTTATTCCTAACATTTAATTTTGCAGCCTGATTTGGCAGGAAATCTGTAATTAAWTTTTTTTTTATTCAATATTTTATTAGAGCTATRCAAACAAAAGGATCTGTTAAACGACTAACGCCATATAATTAACAAGTGTCATTGGTCAAATGCCGCATAYCGTTAAAATGCGCAAGTGTGTCGGTATATTTGATATGCTACTATCGCAAGTGTGATAATGTGTGGGCAGTTTCATGCAAGTTGACAGAAATATATATGTATACTTTACACACACTCCCATATTTATATGCATACTTCCTTGCAAATATAGCAGCAAGCCATGCTATTTTAGCTACCGTTATATTTCTGCGRTTTTCTCTTCACTTGCATTCATTTTCCATTCAATTCATTCATTTATTTTAACATTTTATTTGTCTTTTACCACTGTTGCACTATAAGAAATAATTTAAAATGATTTGTTGTGCGCTTTTCAAAATGAATTTAGTTCAATGTCAGCGGCGCCGCAGCGGTGCCACACAGCATACCGCAGCATACTCACGCATACACACCAAGTATACATATGCATGTTAGTAGGTGTGTAGGTGATCCGTCAGCACAGTGCCTTTGAATTATGAGTTTGCATTTGTTTGGGTCAGTGGAAGAAGCAAAGCAGAAATATGAAAATAATATCGAATGAAGTGTCAGAGGTGTGACTTTGAATGAATTTCGCATACAGTGCCATGTGTATGAGATATACGTATGTCATAAATATGAAAAACATAAATTTAAATATAAGTCACAAATGAAAAGAAAACTCGGTCGTTCAGTTCATTTATTCGGTCTAATAAATTGGGTCAACTAAACCGACTGCAGCACTTAAATAACTCGTGTATGCATATAAAAATATACATTTGTATATATGTATGTAGCATGTACTGACACCATACAGCGCTAAAATGTGCTAGGTTAAGGTATATTTTCTTGGATAAGCATTTGAAATAGTTGCACATTTTCGTATATTTTGGAATATTGGTAGTACTTCGCCTTGAAAATGGAACCATAACTAAGACAACAAAATAGTAAACAAAAAATCTGGAATATAAGTAATTAAATTTGAAAGTTGAATACAAATTATTGAGTCGAAACTTTGTGATGCGATCATTTTCGTGTTGAATTCAAAAGATTTTCTTTACTATTATGCTTTTTTATATATTTTTATTTAGTTTTAATATTTTTATTATGCCCAGAAACTATAGGAATTCATATGGACACTAAAAATACTTTATATTTACGATTTATTTACAAAATGAAAAGTCGAAATATTAAACTGCGTGAGTTTAGGTTCAGTGATAACCAATGCAATTGTCAGTGAGTTAATTTTTTGATTAAAAAAAGCTAAACTTGGGCTGTATTGAAGCTATAGTAACCTTTAAAGATCCATTTCTTATAGCAGAAAAGAGTATAAAACCATATTTT